TCTACTAACCTATGACCCTAATTTTGAGGTTTGTCAGTATTTTTTTCTATGATCTAGAACAAATTTTGAGGTTATGTTCGCCTCCACGCCTATGACATTTGACGTAAATTTGAGGCTATGATCTCTTTTGACCTATGACCTTTGATATTTTAAACGGAGGGTTATCTTTTGAACTGATACTAATTTTGAGGTTATTTCTGTCTCAACTACTTCAAAAACTTTAATTTTTGCGGTTATGTTCGTTTTAATCTATGATTCTGTCGTTCGACCTTCAGTATTGATATTATCCTAATTTTTAACCTATGTTTTTGATATAGATAGTACAATCTCTGAAATTTTCGAGACACATTCTAAACGGTAGGCGAATTTGAATGCTTCGCGAGTTGAATGGTTGCCGAGTACAGCGAGTTCCCGCGTAGTGTCGAAATTCTCGCCTAGTGTTCATTTAAGATAAATTATGAACGGTATGCGAGTCGGAATGCTTCGTGAGTTGAACGTTTTACTGTATTTAAAGGAATTACTCTTGTCGCTGTCGATAAAATTGACATTTTTTTTGAATCTTGTACTGTAAAGAAATTTATTCCACTATTTTATCATGTTTAACATCGTGCGTTAATTTGGGACATTTTTCGTAACATCATTTTTTTCTTTTATTTGTTATCCCGGACTGTACCACCCTGGCGGATTGGGAAAACCGAGTTGTAACCGAATTGGGTTACGATTCGGTTACGTTTCCGTTCATTGTGAAATATTGTCGTTAATCAACGAAATATGTAGGAAATAACTATTAGGAATGGTTAATATACATTTAGAGTGCTGATTTATGCAATAATAATAATAAATTAAGATATAATTAATTAATAATAAGTGTTTTAAGTGTACAGTGCATACAGTTGTTGAATTACCATATATATGTTCTAACGAAATTATTAAATTAATTAAATGTTGTTAATCAATAACCCCTTTTTAAGTTACAAAAAGAAAACCCAACGTGATAATTGTTAGACGCCAGCCAATTATTAAATGGAATTGGCAAACCAGAAAAATCACAAATTTCACAAAATAACCCCAACACTCAAATTAACCAAATTAAATCTCAGAGGAGATTCTGTCAAGAACGAAAGTCGCAAAAAGGGACACGACCCTTGAGACACGACACAACAAAATTGGACTTACCCACGACGACAAAATCAGCACACAGCTTCCTCTCGGCAGGTCCTCGTGGTCGGTGAAAACTCGCCGGTGTCGAGAAAAGGGCTGATAAATAAAATACACACTTTCACACTTTTTTCTTTATTTATTCTTGAGTCGAACTCTGCTTCGACTCCCTCTCAAAAGAAACACTACAATACTCCTCTACACAACTTAATACTCAAAAACTCAAACTATTAGCACCTCTGTGCTCTCTTACACGCGTCGATGGAATTCTCTAATTGATCGCCTTCGTCTCCGCCTCGTTCCGTAGTTGGCCGCCGTGATGGCGCCACCTCCCGGACTCCTGCGTTGTCTCGGCTCCAAACTCCAAAATGCGCGAAACTCAACCCGAGTCGAAAATTGCCTTGTAACGAATTACTTCGTCACAAACACCTCCCCCCTAGGCCGTTACTACTCCCAGCAGTAACGCCTAACCAAAACACCAAAACCCAAGTCGAAAAATTGTCCGTCCCTTGTCGACTACATGGAGGACTACATTTTGTTTAAGGTCCTTGAAGCTTTTGTCGTTGATCTCGTTCCCTTTGTCTCATATTACCCTTGTCGAAATTCCTCCTCGAATCTAAAATTATAGTATCATTAGTAAAATTTACTGAGTTCGTAGGGCGAGATATCGTTTAAGGTCTGAGACATGGATTTTAGGAAATCGACGACTCTCGTTATCGCGTAAGACAAAAACTGTAGGTGATAATTTCTCCACGATCTCGAAGGGGCCTTCATATTTCGGTGCGAGTTTTGTCGCGAAATTCCGTGTACCACTCGACAATTTGTGTTATTTACGGAGTACTAGATCATCCACGTTAAACAACCCCTCACGTCGATTACGGTTATAGTACTCGGTCTGTCGATCACGTTCTTTGTCGATAAATTTCGCTACCAAGTCTCGCAACGCATCCAACCTCTTTACCCTGTCTACCCAATCTTCTGGCGCAATTCTTCTAACCTGATCTCGTGGTTCCACCTCCCGTCGCAAACTTTTAACCGGTCAAGGATGTCTTCCGTAATTCAAAAATGCGGGAGACGTTTTAGTCGCCACCTGTGTCGCAGTGTTCATAGCATGGCGAAACTCATGAACATGAAGATCCCAGTCGCGATGATCATTCCCTATGAAAGTCGCAATCATCGTCTTCAATGTCCGGTTACTCCTCTCCACAGGATTAGCTTGCGGGTGGTAGGGTGGTGTGGTGATGTGTTTGACCCCATATTCCTGAAGCGTTTCCTTGAGGAACTTGTTGTCGAACTCCTTCCCATTGTCCGTTAATAAAAAGTCAGGGGTTTCCCAGCGGAAGAGGACCAATTCTTCAAATGCTTTGGCCACCGACTTTCCATCAGCTGATCGCAACGGTTTCACCTCAACCCACCTCGAGAAAAGATCTTGGAACACGACAAGATATTTACACCTACTCTTGCTTGGTGGAAACTCCATTGTGTCCGCCGCCACTACAGCCCAAGGTCGCTCAACTATCCTCTGTCCCATTAGTCCTGCCGGTCCTGCTTGTGATGCTTTGTGAAGCTGGCACTGGGGACATCGAGTGACATACTGGTGGACATCGTTCCAGATTCCTTGCCAGTAATATTCTCTCGCCACTCGATTATACGTTTTCTCCACCCCCAAATGACCTGTCGACGCCAACCCATGGCCGTCGTGGAGAACTCTCTCTCTGTACTCCTCAGGTACCACCAGTTTCCAACCATCTTCGTCGCCAACAATCGGAAGGAGTAACGGGTCACTCCTATGTCGATAAAGATGATCGTTCTCAATTTTCCATCCAGGAAAACGCTCCGGGAACTGTCGAACCAAATCTCGTCGCTTAAGGTACCATTGGTCCATAATGGTATCAAAGGCATCGATCATCTCCTCGTCATCCTCACTCATCCTGAACAATGCATCTGGGACTTGGTTCAATGCACCCCTCCTGTGAATGATTTCAAAATCCCACACCTGCATTTCCAGGGCCCATCTCGCTAGTCGAACACTTGGGTCTTTTAAGTTTCTAAGCCACTTTAGGGCACTGTGATCTGTGATCACCATAAACTTGTATCCCTCGATATACGGTCGCAACTTCTTAATCGCCCACAACAACGCTAAACACTCCTTCTCCGTGACGCTATAATTCCGTTCTGCCCCTGTCAGAACACGGCTGATATACATCACCGGATGTTCACCGTCGTCAAACTCCTGAGTCAACACAGCTCTAATAGCAAAACTACTCGCATCACATTGGATGGTGAATATCTTACTAAAGTCAGGACGGGCCAACACTGGCGCTGTCGTAAGTTTGTCCTTCAACTTGTCGAAAGCCTCTTGTTGCTCCTCGCCCCATTCCCAGTCTTGACTCTTCTTGAGCAATTTAAGAAGAGGTATCTTGATTTCGCTATCGTTCATGATAAATCTCGAATACCATCCCACCATGCCCAAAAATCTCCGGAGTTGTTTGTACTTTCTGCTCTATTCTGCCATTGGAATTTGGTGATATGCCAATTTCAAATCGATCTTCGACAAGTATCGCGCCTTTCTCAACTTGTCGAGTATGGAGTCTATCGTCGGAATTAAATAGGCGTCCTTGACGGTAACCTTTTTGACATCCCTATAGTCCATACACATTCGAAAATCTCCATTCCCTTTTCTGGCAATCACCGGTGCACTCCTCCAGTCGCTACTTGATGGTTCGCTCACACCTTGCCCATGTAGTTGAATCATGTGTCCTTGAGCCCACGTGATCATAATAGGTGACATGCGTCTCTGGCGATGCTGTACTGGTGTCTCGTCTGTAACCCTTATATGATGTTCTGTCAGATTTGTCACCCCCAGTACGTCAGATTCTGGAAGAACCAATCGGTTCACCATTTCTTGAATGATCTCTCTTTGTTTGTCCGTCAACGCAGAGATTCCAGCGCATTCAGCGTAGATCGACTCATCACTCTCAATCCCATCCTTGACGCCAAAAACATGCCAGTCGCCATTGAAAACTCTCCATAACCCCAGTCCCAATTGTACCTCCATATTCCAGGCTTTGCAGAAATCCACACCCAAAATTATATCTTGTACTACTGAACTAAGGACCTTGACGCTAAACGGTTGAGAATGGCCATCCACCTCGATGTTCAAATTCAACAATCCAGCTGTCTCAGTTACTCCTCCAATGGCGCTTCTTATCGATGTATTGCAAGGCTGGATGCGGCTCTTATAAGGCTCAGCCACTCTGTCGCTAATCACCGAGATCATCGCTCCAGGGTCGAAAAGTGCCTCGTAAGATTTGTCGCCAATGGTCATTCGAAAGAAATAACGATTTTCCATACGACTTCCGTCTACATCCTTGTCGAATAAGGGTTCTGGGTCAGCTGTGCCCGTCACAGCCTCTCCCCTCCCCTGGACTATTGGTACTGACTCCCTTTCAGTATCTTTAGTCCCATCTGTTACTAACACGTTTTTGAGTGAATGCTCTCCACTCATTTGGCTTTTTGGTACCTGTGTCACAAATTTAAATAAATTCTATTCATTTAATTCGTCAGTACCAACTCTCTCATCACTACGTTTGAGTGGTCCCTTCCCACTCTGTTGTCCACTACAGGATGCATCCTCGTTGATGGGGAAAAAATTTTACCCTCTTTGTTTACTCTTCTTTTCCCCTGAACCTTCTCCAACCCTGGTCGCTACCCCGTCGTTAAGAATCGGTTTTAAGGATTCTTGAGTGGGTTGGAGGGGGGTACAGACCCGCTCTGTGCCCCCCATTGTCCGTTTCCCAAAGCGGCCCTCACTTGGACGCAATTCGGACAATTAAGGAAATTCACGCCTGGTGATCGACAAACAAGGCAGGATTCAACCTGGACTCTGCTGGGCACTGTGCCGCGAAATGACCACGCTGTTGACAAACAAAGCATGTCCTCATGGGGCATTCCGAAACTTTGTGTCCGACCATTTGACATGTGAAACATGCCCCCACAAATGGCTTCGACCCGCCCGTCGCAATTTGTGTTGTATGTCCAGTGTTTCCAACTCCTTGTTTTGGTGGAAACTGACGCTTGCCTTTCCCAGCGGCCACTGTCGCAAAAGTAGGAGGAGGGTTAGAAGCCCGTATCGGAGTCGCGGATGGCTGAGGACTTGATTGCTTAATTGCATTCACCTCTATAGTTCCCTTCTCAGAATCAGTCTTCTTTGTCTTCTTCGACTTTTTCCCCTTACTCTTCTTGTCGACCACCTTCTCTACCTCGCTACCCGTCGCTGACTCGTTTTCTAAAGCCGCTATCTTCTTCGTCTCTTTTGAGGAAGATGGCTTTTTCTCATCCTTCTTCGTACCCTTATAAGCCGCGGCGGGAAAACGCATTTTCTCTTTAGGAGGAGGGGGGACGTATCTGTCGTCGAGATCTAGAACCTTTTCGAACTGTCGCAAATTTCTCTCTAATTTCGAGAGTGATTCTAACCCCGATGAATCAACTTGTTTCCGATAAGTGGGGGTAAGTCCCTTATAAGCGATTTTAACCTGTTCCCTGGACGACAATGGTTTCCTAAGATGCCCCATTATAAGTCGCAAACTGGTTATGTAGGAGGATATTTTCTCCCCTTTCGCTTGAGTCCTACTCCTCATCTCGTCTATCACTTCGTCGTCATCAATGGTCATTAAATACTCTCGTCGAAAAGCTTTTTTAAATGACCTTCACGAACTAATTTCTTTACGAATTGTGCGGAACCACCTACTCGCATTACCCTTAAAAATGCTGGGAAGTGTTTGGAGGAGATCTTCGTCGCTTATCATGGCGCAATCTCGGCAGTCTTCAATTCTCTCCAAGAATTCTTCGGGATCTTCTCGCTCTTCACCCGAGAACTTAATATCCCAATCTTTTAGAGTCCTATTGACTTTATTTAATCGAGAAGCTAAACGATAATCTCTTCGCCTCTGAGATTTGTCGCTAACGTCAGTCTCGTTGTCAGTCGAAGAATTTTCAAAGAGTGTCCTCCTAGCATCAATCCGTTGAGTATTCCGAGAAGTAGGTCTTCGGCTGGAATCCCTACGTCCCTGACGATCCCCTTCCCTAGACGAGAATCCGTCACTAACTTCCGATCTCAATCTACTGTCGCTATGTAACTCACTAGGTTCACTCTTTACTCCAGAACCCCTTTCTCTCTTCATGTATGTGCGCCTACTGTCACATACTTCCCCACTCCTATTCCTGTTTTCGCCTACTGTCCGGGGGGTTGAGTTAGGGATGGTGTTGGGACTCTCTCCTCCTGATTGGCCCTTATTTATTTATTTATTTATTTATTAACAAATCCAACAGTCTCAAAGACCAATAACAGGATTATCGCAATACAAAGTAATAATAATATGGCTTTTATATGTTATACGCGTACAAATAATTACAGCGTCGGGATCTCTTTATAGTACTTAATAATAGCAGACAAGAAAGAACTTATCGTTTGGTCAAATATATCTAGTGTTGTTGAACAATTAGATTGAATTGTATTGTAAGTGTCACAGATTTTCAATACAGGTGTTGTCCCATCGGTAATCGCAGTGTAGAAAGGCCGTGACTCCCGAGAAAAGAATTGACGAACAGAAACAGGTATTTCAGACAACAGATAAGGACTGGAAACTAATCCCCTGATTATTTTAAAGAGAAACAAAACCGAATCGATATTTCTTTGATTTTCTAATGAAAGTTCATTGAATCTCCTACAAAGTTGTGAGTAATCAGAACCCTGGGGTAACAAAACACCATATTTTTTAAAGTGTAAGAATTTTAAAAATCGTTTTTGACAATTATCAATGGCGTTTATCAAATATGCTGTCTCAGTTTTCCAAACAACCGAACAGTATGTAAATTTAGATTTAACTAGTGAATAAAAAAGAGATTTAACAGCCGATACATTTTTAAATTTACTACATGTTCTGAATATGAAACCCAGGGTTCTATTAGCTTCACGAACAATAGTGTCAATATGAGTGTTAAACTTCAGCGAGAATGTAAAGTGTACTCCTAAATCTTTAATCAAGTGAGTCCTATCCAAAATTGTCCCATCTACAGTATATGTGTTATTAACCGAAGTTATTTCATCCCCTTCCCCTGTCGCAAATTCTACTGGATTTTAACATGGCCGTTGAAAATTGCTATTATTCCCCAAATTCTGACCCATACTAGCAGCCATTAAATGGTTATTAATACGGATCAGCTGTTGTAGTTCTGGACTCAGGGTAAACTTGGCTATAGATTGCCGCAAGCTAATCACCCCAGGCGACATCGTCGCTGAAACCCTCATTGACGGGGCAGAATTCACGGTGGTCGTTGGCGCAGGGTTCATAGAATGAACGGCTGACTTTCGTGGTGGGGAATTTGTGGGGATCGACGCTGTGGACATCACCGGTGGTGATTGTGGAAGGAGCGGTGGAGGGGACGGAAAGTCATCGGTGGTCGGACTTGGTCTGCTGTGCGATGATTTATCTTCCAACCTTTTTCTAATGGCCCCTTTACTTTGTTGATTTCCCAAAAATCCCAAGTCACGAATCGACCGTGAATTTTTCTCCTCGTCGCTACTCGAATAAAACTCGCTTCCTCTTTGAAGATTTACATTAGGCAATAAATTTTCTTCTGTGAATGCCTCAAACTGAAAAACTTTGACTGAGTTCCCTTTATCGTACTCGTCGCAAAAGGGTACGTCAGTTTCTGGGGGAAGCGCGAGTTTCAATTCTGCTCGAAACAGTCGTTCTCGCAAAACTTGTAACGAGCCACTAATGCATAATTGATTAGTCAACAGGCTCGTTACCACTTGTCCTACCGGCATTCCTAAAATTACTTGCCACAATTCCTTCGCCTGTGGAATTGTGAACAAGTGACGCATCCTTTCTTTATAGAAATGCATTGAAGGGCCCGTCGGTCCATTGACACGGCCCTGGTCAATAATTTTTAAACACTTGCTTGACTAGTCGCAAAGGAAAATTTTACTCTCTATAATTTTTCACTTATTTTGGAATTCTAGAAATAGGGGTGCCAATTTTATAGGTACGGCCCTGACAATTAAATTCAAATTAGCACCACTTGACTTTTCGCAAAAATAAATTGTCGCAAAAATTAACCTGTCGCAAAAATTAAATTTGGTAGAAATTTTAATTTTTGGGGCCCGTTCACTATTAGTTACGGCACTGATCACTCGTAAAAATTCAATTTTATAACCGGGTCGTCATTAAGAGAATTTTTCCCATTAAAAATTCTCACGTAAAATGTCAATTAATTTTTGATAAGGCCCGTCGGTCCGTTGACACGGCCCTGGTAAACAAAAAGAAAATTCAACAATTACTTGACTTGTCGTTAAGAAAATTTTACACACTAAAATTTCCATTTATAATTAAAGAAATTTTTAAAGATGACCGTCGCGATAATAATATGGTCCTGGATTAATTTTTGTTTATTTAACAGATTTTTTTTTTTTAAAAGTCACACTAATCGACTCTCAATTCTATTCCACACGTTTCATTTAAAATTTTCAATTTCTCCACTCATTGAAAATTTTACAAGTCGCCAGATTCCCTACTGCGCAAGTCACAAGTGTTTGAAATTTCTATCTTCTTCCAAGTCGAGAAGCATGGGTCTTAAATTCAAACACCGAGGTATCACGTAATACGCATGCGCGACGAATCACATGGTATGGTATAATTAATACGCCGGCCACGTGGGAAGCAATTATTAATAATAAATAATTTTTTCAAAATATTATCACGCACAAAAATCCAGAAAAATTCACTGATTCCGAGAAAAATCGATTCGTCAAAATCGGTCGAGCAATGTCTCTGAAATTAATTCTTGAGAATTTCTACACGTGACTATGGCGGACCCTATGCATATTAAATTTACCTGGGAACACTCGCGAAATTGTCTCACTTTATTCGCCCGAACACAACTCCTCAACCATGTCGCAAATTTTAAATTTCAGGACAGGAACAATAAAATTCATTACATGAAAAATTATAATCAGCAACAAAATATTTTCTGTCAAAAATATCAGGTCGAGAAAGTCACAAAAAACAAGTCACAAAAATTTTGTCGTGTCTCAAAGATTCTCAACGAGGCCCAGAGCCGAATATAGACATCTTGCCGCCCTAGGCCATTTTACTGATCCGCCCTCCTTAAGGCGAGGATTTTCATGCATGAATACAAATATTTGGAAAAATTAATTTTGGCGTATGATGATTAATAATGATATATTAAAATGTTTGCATATTTAAGATTTTTATTTGCATGTTGAGATAAAAAAAGAGACTTGAATAACTTCTCATTTGTTTCGCGAATTTAATGGAGAAGAAGAAAGAAATATGTAATTAATAATTTAAAAATTATTTTTATTTAATAATAATAAATAATAATGAAGTAAGACTTTTAGTCTACAGATTTACTCGACGTACTTTTTTTTCTGCAAACTCGTTTATAATTTTTTCGGTATCAATTGTTTGAAGAATGGAAGATTCAATATACATTATAGACAAGGCATTCAATCTTTCTTCGCACATGGTTGAGCGCAAATAGTCTTTAACTCTTGACATAGCAGAAAATGATCGCTCACAAGAACAATTTGAAACAGGGATTGTTAAATAAATACGAAGCGCAACATTTACATTTGGATAAACAATCGTTAATTGTTTTTCGTGCAGCATAATCGACAGTTCAATCATCGAAATATTTTGTATCTTCATCGATCTTAGATGTGCTCCAAGGTGAAGGCATTCAACTTCTAATTCGTCTCCTAAATCGTCGGGATAAAAAGAGAGTAACTTTGTACAATTCTTCCTTATTTCGCCAGAATCTTGAACATGCAATAATGTTAAGAAAGAGAACCTGTCACACAAAATTTCATAGGCTTCGCATCGTTTTTTTAATTCCGCTTCCAACCTATCAATGCTAAAGTAAAACATGTTCACTTTGATGTTGTCTCTGCCCGTAAATTCATGTTCCGTTTCTCCAGCTTCATCAAAATGTGGTTTACGTTTCTTCTTTCTCGACAAATCAAATTTATAACTAGTGTGCTTGCAAACACTTTTGGCTTTCTCTTCGTAAACAGAAAATTGGTTCCTGAATTCGGCAACGTACTGCATTAAAGAGTGATAAAGTTCAACAACCAAAGCGAGGTGACAATCTTTAGCTTGTAATGCTTTGCTGACAGCATTCAACCTTTGAAGTATATCGTTCCAAACAAGTGAAATAAAGCAATTTTCAAGATTATCAAGAGAAACATGAATTCCTTTGGCTTGTTGACGAGTTTCAGGTTTTTCAAATTTATTGTTAGCTATTTGTAACAGGGCATTTAAAATTTCACTCCAAGATTGACAAACACTTTTACATGCTTGGTGTTGATCTGACCATCTAGTTTTAGATAAATTCTTAAGAACAGTCGCGTTATCTTTCAAATTTTCGAGTAAAATCTCCCATCTGTGTGTTGACGAGGAAAAGAAATTGTAAAGCTGTTGCAAAATAGAGAAAAAATTTACCACTAACTGACAACTTTTAACAGTATTTGTCCCAACAAGATTGAGTGAATGTGGTGAACAAGGAGCGAAGACAGCTGCGGGATTTACTTCAACAATTCTTGCTTGAACACCAGAATACATACCCGACATATTGGCTGCGTTGTCGT